GTGATAGATGCCTACACGGGATGGCCAGAGGCCATACCCTGTGCAAAGGAAGACTCAAAAACTGTTATCCAATTCCTCGTTCAGTCCTACATCCCACGACATGGGTTCTCTAAAAAAGTTAGGAGCGACAACGGAAGTCACTTCAGAAATCATGACCTAGCCACCGTAGAAACTTCTCTAGGCCTGACCCACAAATTCGGGGCAGTGTACCACCCACAGTCACAGGGAAAGGTAGAAAGGATGAACCAGAACATGAAACAGAAACTTGCCAAAACTATGGAAGAAACAGGGCTGAACTGGTTAGAGGCGCTACCATTGGTCTTACTGGTGATTCGTAGCACCATTTGCAGAACCACAGGTTTCTCTCCATATGAGATGACCCATGGACACCAGTTTCCTGGCCCAGGGGCAGGAACCACGGTTTCCAAAGAACTCTATGAACGAGTAGGGCATGAAGACTATTATAAACAACTAAAATGCCTTGTTGCAGAGTTCGCTGACGAATCCACAGAAACACGAGCCAAGGGACATACCGAAGAAGCTGAGGGTGGCAGAGACGTGGAGTACATCCGACTGAAGACGGTCAAACCCAAGTGGTGTGCCCCACGCTTCACCGGACCCCACAAGGTAACCCAGAGAACAGACCACGCTGTGCGACTAGAAGGAAAAGGAGACACGTGGTACCACTGGTCCCGATGTGTGGCGGCACCAACTCCAACCAGAACCCTTGAAGACACGGCTATCGACCTAGAGGACCTCCACATCCGGTCAGCAGAAGGCATCCCGACCCAGGACCCCACTGAGGACAACGGAGGGGGCCCATCCACAGCCTAGGAGATAACAGCCGGCAAGGAGGCACGACAAGGGACCGCACCCCCTGAGCAGGCGGTACACCACACGCATTACATACACCCACCACAGTAGGAGACCCATTTAAACTGATACACAGGACTAAGACTTTGAAAAAGACAATGGCAAAAGGCAAAAGGGGGAGCCCTAGCTCTCAGCTCGCATACCTCGCTCTGGCCCTAATGGGGGTAGTCATGATCGGAATCCTAGTGATACTACTTGGAGAACGAGCCAGAGAGATCGAAGACAACACACCAAGAAATGTCGCTTCACCACCAAACCCCACACCACAAAATCACTCCAGTAAGACCCGTACAAAACGTGATGTTTCACAAACACGTGCCACGGTGTATACAGTAAATTTCACAAAATGCGACCAAAAAGCTTCACTTAAACACGTTTCCCTTACACTGTGTATACCTGAAAAATCAAGCACAACTAGTCTAATTCCGTACTCAAGTCTAACAAATAACCATGGCCAAAATGGTAGAAGTTGGGGCAACGGGTATCAATGGTACATAACCATAGGTGACGAATGGAAAGACCTGGTTGGAGAAACAGGGGCGGACTGGAGGTCGTGGTCAACAGGACCAGCAATAGCACTTAGGAAAACAATCACACTGTCCAAATCCTCCGCCGGCTTGTCCCTCAAATTAAATCTAACAGCAGCCCCAGATTCAGTAAGAGACCCCACAGTCACTTGCGCGCTTTTCTACTTATGGGCCCATTCTAACGAGAACGACCCCAAGTTTCCCCTTTTCGCTTGCATATCTAGCAAAATACCTAAACCACTTGCGGATGACACTACAGTACAAAAGGGGGTGGTAATTCATTCAACTGAAGACTGAACAGTAGACAAAGAGTTCCAAGCGGCAACCGGGGTCTCAGGACATTCAGTGACCAGTAACAACTGGCTGCTAATGGCCCAGCAGGCAGCAATCGACACAGGAGACGACTGTCTCGTGTGTATGGGGGCTAGACCCCTTCTCAAAATAGTCGCTGCCCCCATAGAACCCGACTGTGTGTGGGAAGTAATGATGAAAGACAATCCGGCCGACAACTGCTCCAAATATGACGCTTTCTTCCCATTAGTTCCCTCCTCCCCGCCGTACATCCCATGACAACGCGACGACATGGACGCATGAGAACCATAAAACATCAGCTAAGAAACTGTATAGACTAAATGATTTAAAGCATACTGAAATTACTGCACTGAACTATTGCTTCGCTTGCATACATTGTTGTTATTGCCCCAATCTATGGAATGGGGCAAAAGGGGGATTGATGGTTTATTGATAAGGCAAAAGTAACAGAAGTAAAGATATAGTAAAACAAACTTAAATGTAATGCTGCAATCATTGAGAAGCCTCAGTGGAAATATACTGTGTGAATACTGTGTGCAACAACAACGCTGAGTTAACCAGATTAAGAACAGATGCATCCTGTTCTGTCCTGTTCTGTCCAAAACTGAAATGCCACAAAGTTGCAGAACTCATTGTTCTCACACAAAGTCACCCACCAAGCAGGCGCAACGTTTCCCAAGGGCAGTCTTGTGAGAACCTAAGGGTTGCTGGACAGCAAAGGCAGATTACACCAAGACAGAGCACAAAAGGTGGGGGCTACACAGCAAAAACTATAAGGACAGGATGTTTCTACAACTCGGGGCTCTCTTTAACTGGGATCTTACTCTGACGGACCTGTCACGGTGAGACCTCAAGAAGGAGTCCAAAGCGCTTTGTGGTATAAGTATCAAATTGAATGTATTTGCTGAACTGTGATTAAAGTACCAAAGTAATATCAGAACCAAATCAGAGTACGAAGTCCAGTGGTGTTTGACTGTTTGACTATTCCTAGACTATTGCCTCTGCTCTCCAGAAAAGAACGGTTCACCGGGAACATCGGGCCAGACCCTGCTCTGGCCATATCCAAAACGATCTGCGCGGAGTACGGACTAGGTCCTGTACACTCCAACAGTATTCATCTTTATTGTCTTCATTGTTAGTTTCCACATGCCTAAAACAACCTCAAGCTAAATCTAAAAGTTGATGGCTAAATAAGAGCGTTTGAGAAATTGTGCAAGGCATACAGTAATAGTCCGAATAGTCGATTAATCGTTTCATTAATCGATAGATTAATCGATTATCAAATTAGGCGTTTGTTGCAGCCCTATTGTAGTTATTCCATGTATAAATAAAACGTGTTATTCAGCAACCCTTGCAATTTGGGATTTTATTTTTGGTTGGTAGACCTCGGTGAGCTGGTCATTACAAAAGTAGCTCACCAGCCAAAAAAGTGTGGGCACCCCTGTTGTAGACTGACACAAGAGAACTCCCAAATTGGTGAATTGTGGTAAAGAGATTAAACAAATGCTGTGCCAGTGCTAGGCTAATCCAGTTGGCTAAAGTGAATAAGCCTGAGTTAACAACATTAGCATTGAACGATGAACATTGCAATTAGCTGACTGTTGTAGAGCACAGCTAAAGCTATTGACAACTCACTCAAGAGAATATAAAAACGTTAATACAGAGGGTTTAAGTGCAGACTGTTGTATTTAGCTGAGGCAACTGAACAGCTTTAATACTGAAGCAAAATAAGTTGCGTTTTGTAAGGGATTTTATATCAGGTGTTTGTGAATCAGAGTCCTGCATCGGGTCGGGTACCCGCGGGTGACCCGCAAAATAAGTGATTCGCGGGTGATATTTTTTCAAACGCTTTTTTCCGGGTACGGTTCTGGGTAAAACAAAGATGATGCGGGTCGGGTCGCGGGTGTTGCATAATAAATATATTAAAATAATAATAATTTAGTTTAATGTTTGAATCCTCAGACCTCTCCCCCGCGGGACCGCACATAATCATAACCTCTGCAGCGCATCAATCTGCTGCTGAGCGCCACATTCAAAATGGCTGAGGTGAAGGCGGATCTCGGAGAATACAGCATTTTCAATAACACTTCCTCAAGGAGCGAAATCCAACGTCTGGGAGGCTTTTGGTTCCTAGATGGAGAAAAATAACCAACATCCCACGCTTTTTGAGACAAATATGGAACTGCGTGTGTTAATAATTGCACGTTTTCACTGCTCATATATATGCGGGTTCGGGTCGGTTTGCGGATCTTCTGCCGACGGGTCGGGTTCGGTATTGCACGTCGCGGGAGCGGGTCTTGAAAATCAGACCCGTGCAGGACTCTGTTGTGAATCAGATTTGTTTTGAAGACATACAATTGTGCCAAGTTACACTGTATCTAGTGTGTTTGCTTGCCTTTTATGTAAAAATGATCTTACATTTAAAAAAACGTTTAATTTATTTTTAAATAACTGTAATGAAGCAGTGTTTAAACCAGGGGCATCCAACGTTCCTTGATCTGAAAGACTTGCATCACATCACTTACGTTTATACCAGCGACGTGCAGTCAGGGGAGGCAGAGCCTCACCTGTCATACTCATAGACTGACCATACTCCAATGTAACAGAAAAACAACTAAAGAAAAACTAAATAGTAATAATAATAAAATGTCTCCACTGATCTGTGTTGTAAATGTGATTTCTGTTTGATTCCAATTGCTTTTTATAGTCAAAATCAGCAAATTGGCCGAGCTCCGCTACAACTACATGGGAGCGATGAGGAGTGAGGCAGGGACGAGCTCTGCCTCTCGTAAGCCCACAGTAACTTGCTGGAGCGCGGGCACTAATTTAGCGCGGGCACTTATTTTGTGAGCGCGCTCAAGCCAGTTACTGTGGGGTGAGGTGAGGCACAGATGAGCTCTGCCTCACCTCAGAATACGTCACCCCACAGAAACTGGCTGGAAAGCGGGCCCTAAGCGCATGCCTGCACCATCTCACTGTATGTCACCAATGTAATGTTTGTAGATCCCTTTATTACATTTATCCTCGCCATCCATAGTCTCTAAATAACTTATTTCACGTATATATGATATTTAGGCCCGCTGGTCTCATCATACAACGGCAATGAAAAAAGCACCAGGGGAGGCAGCCATAACCTCTGCCGCACTGAAGGGGGCGCACGTGAGCCCACAGGTTCTTGTTGCTACTGTTATTCTACGCAGAGACGGTAGACGCAAACAACAAACTAGACTTTTGAAACTAGAGGAAGATAAGGAGGACTTTTACAAAAATGTAATGGAGATTGTTGTCCAGAAGGATAGCATGGACTTCATCTTCAAGTCAAGGTAAGACTACAATTGTAATGAACATGGGATCTTACTAAGAAAGAACAATCCAATATTTAGATGTTGGGTATCCTTTTGTTGAACAGTCTGTTTAAAATGAATCGAAGCATCAGACTAAAAAAGCTTTTGAAAATAACCGAACATTTCGATTAAGGTCAAAATATAATATTTGTAAATCTGACTCTGAAAGAGTCAGTGCCTCACCAGCCATGAACCTCACCGCACGTCACTGGTTTATACACATAGCACTCAGTTCAATTAAGCTACTGAAATTGCAATACCCAAAGCTTATAAACAATCTTAAAGGTCCCCCATTATACTATTTTTCATCAAAATTGTTACAGCTCAAATGCATTGCAATGACTTTGTTGAAAACTTGAAAGTGAAATGTTAAACTGGAAGAGTAGAAAAAATAGTGAAGAAGCTTAATATTTAAAAAATTTAAAAAAAGGTATAAACAACATGTATAGCCTCAATGTCCTGAAATAGCTGAATAATGTAATAGTTGAATAGTTTCTGCAGCTGAAAGTAGGCTGAAGGAGTTAGATATTAAATGTAGTGAATGAATGTGTATTAAGAAGAGAAAAGAAAGTAAACACGCTTTGAAAAGCAGCAGAATATTTGAACTGCAAACTTTTGAACTAAAACCATACGTCACCAATAATGTATAAAATATGTGGAACATGTTGAAGTCAGTATGAAGTGTCCATCAGACAGAAAAGAATAGGCTGAGACAGTCTGTTCAACTGTTTTCGTGTCCGTGTGGCTCGGGCCTAAGACAAGCTAAGGACCCAAGATCCGCGTTTCAGGGCTGGGATAGAGGGATATGAGAGATTTCTAAAATGCATGATCTGTTTGTATTTTGAGAAAAACACATCAGTCATGTTTTTATATATTTTTATATTTCTAAGACCCATAATATATGCCTAAAAATAGCATGATAGGTGCACTTTAAGATGGTTGATGGTGGTAACTCTCTGCATCAAACTTTCAAGGCTGCAGTTTGATTTTCATAGAAATGAAAGGAAACGGATCCCTGGGCTACATGAACCAAACCAGAGTGGTCTCTTTGTTTTCTCAGGATGTTATTGTAAAGTCTTAAAGGAAAGTTGCTGTTAACGGTGACCCACAGAGCCTCTGAGAGGAAACCACACTGTTTCATAATGTTTGTTTTCACTGGCTGACAGTCAAATCAAACAGTATACTGAATCAATATGATACAAATACAACATAATTCCCGTAAACTCTACTTTGCTTTTGGTATTTCTTGGAACATTTGTGTAGGAGCCATTTTGTGGGTGTTGTTGGTGTGTCAGTTTATTTGAGTTATATGTATAGTGCAATATTATTTTTGAACACTTGGTGGCGGGGTTTAGCTGCACCGGGTGTATATAAAGAGGTCATAGGTGACAGGAGAGGAGAGGGACACAGAAGGAGAGAGCATACCGATTCCAGCAGCCCGGCAGATGCTCATCACAACAATTAGAAACTGTACAATTAACCCTGGTATGTAAAGCTGAATAAACAACATTATAAACTACAACAAAGGACCGGAAATCATCTGTTTGTGTCTGCGTCTGGATCACTCTTCAGCCCTTCTGTGAAAGTAACGGCAAAAATATCTAGGACATAGGAAAAGGAAATTGCCATTACAATTTGTTTTTAAAAAAAAGCCCAATATCTCCTTTCATCTCCCCTCAGTGGAACATTTATACGGACTCGGACTTTGATGAGAAAAATATAAATGTTGTGTAAAACTATTTTATTTCTGAAGAGATAAGTCAAGGGTCACTTTTGGGAGGGCAGGAAATGGTGCCATGTACATTCTTAAAAGGTGAGTTTGTATTTATTTTAAAAAATCCCATTTGAAAGTGAGCATGTATTAAAGAAACAATGACCTCTCTCAATTGTATGGACACTTCAAATGTGAGGACACTTAAAGGGGCAGGGCATTTGTGGAATATAGGGTGATTTGTACAAAGTTAAAACATTTAGGTAACTTTAGATGAGGGCATTTTTTAAAGAAAGGAAACTCTTGGTAGTAATAATAATAATAATAATAATAATAATAATAATACATACATGGGACTTTTATAGCGCTTTTCATGAAACTCAAAGACGCTTTAAAACCTTTTACCAAAAAGGAATCCAGTTTTCACAAGACAGCACATTTTTTGCTTTAGTGATATGTTGTTGTATGCGAGGACTGTTCTGAGAAACTGACTGTTGAGTGTGTGAGAGAAAAGTTAGCACAATAGCGTACAGAAGTCTGTGTGGGTGTGTGTGTTGTAACTTGTGTGTGTACACGTACGTATGTGCAAAGGTTGAATAACAAATACTGCACAAAATAATGTCACTGTTTAGTGAATCAAACTCATTTTGATCAAAACATCTTCAGAGTATAGTCATCAAGTATTATTTGTGAATTAGAGTGCTGGTTCCCCTGAGCATATTTAAACCAACACTACCCAAAGATAGAAAAGAAAAGGAGTTGCCTCTGAGATATGTTATCAAACAGAGCCATAATCACCCTCACAATACGGTAACTGAACTCTGTTTACAGCACTATGCTTCTCTGACTCTCCTCTCTGACTCATCTCAAACACTGGCAGAGTGCAATTAATCAGCCGGTTGATAGAAGGCCGTCCAATCGATGATGCATCTCACAGAGAGGGAGACGAGAACTGAACCGTCTGAGGAAGAAGCCTGAGGACATGTGAAAACAGTTCACACAATGATGGAGTAGGGGGACAGCTTTTAGATACAGCTGTGGATTTCTAAAACAGTTTATTGTTTGGGGAAAGATTGAAATACATTACTATGTTTGTACATTTTGATGTGAAAAATACTACTGAAACGAAACATGACCAATCTTGAATGCCAGTAGTGAGACCTGGCTAGCACCCCTAAATAAATAAAAATAATTAACACTCAAACTAAGCTAATTAGCCTAGCCGCTAATTAGCTTAGCCACTCGGAATTCTCACTGTATTTATGCAGTCGCTGTTAAAGGGGACCTATCATGCAAAATGCACTTTTTGATGTCTCACGCAGCGTCAGAAAATAAAACCCTTTCTCTTTTCCTCCGTACCCAAATCTCTAAAAACGGGGCTACAACGGAGCTGATCCAGATTTGCGTCCGATATGACGTAATATCCGAAATGTAGGCTGGCTTTACACCCACGGCCTTATCAGAAACGTTGCTATCAGAAACAATGCCCGACTGTTTTGGACGTAATATGGTCGGTGTTTACATTAGCATCGCTAACACTCAGAGCTAACCTGTACTGGAGAGCATGTGTGTGAAGAAGCAGGAAGTAAAAAGGAACTCACCTTGTGGTATAACCGGCAAGAGAGAAAGCCTTTGAGCTCCATACTGTTTCAGAGATAATCCATGATATGGCGTTTCATCACGGCAGTATCTGTCCGTAGAATCTCCCGCATGAGCAGGCATAAGCTCCGCCCCTCTTTTTTAATCACATTTCTTTAAAGCTTTATCCCCAATCAGCACTTTAGAAACAGGAAGTGAAATAGAGGGATATGAGGCATGGCTAGAATGGGTGATCTGTTTGGTATTTTGAGCAAAACACTTCATAGACATGTTTTTTATATATTTGTATATATCTGAGACCTATGCTATTGCCTAAAGATAGCATGATAGGTGACCTTTAAACACTTCCGCCAACTCCGGTGTGGATGAAGCAGCATGTCCTGATCCGGGCTGTCCTCAGACTCTCCATCAGAATCAGCTCCGATCAGACCTTTCTGAATCCCGACAGGATGGTGTCGGTCGGCACTGAAGCCCATGCTGTGTCCATCCATCCCACAACATCCTGGAAAGTTACGTGACGCATCCTCCCAGTTGCCGTGACTTTTTTCTTCTTCGGTGGTACAGCAGTTTTCAGTTGTCACGATTGTATACAGTGCCATATATTGGCCGGAGTTTGAACGCAGTTAGACAACATTCAATAAATAAGTCGCTTCGGAGTATAAGTCGCAGGGCCAGCCAGACAGGTAAAAAAAACGCGACTTATAGTCCGGAAAATACGGTAGATATTAACAAGCTGAAAACATACTGTCATGAAATGTCTTTCTATTATGAATTTAAATTGCCCTTGTGAAACTAGTCTTGTGTTCATTGCTATCCCCATAATGACCTAAAAATGTGTATTTATGACAAACATGGATGTTGTTTATTATTGATGTTCCAGCAAAAGCAATGTTTGGAATGTTTTCATTTTGCTACGGTAAGTATTGAACGGTGCAGACACAATGACCCGAGCAATGTCCGAAAGGGTTTGTGTTTTGTTTTTGCCGATGAGCTCACTATATAATGTTCTATATTTACCTCAGTAGAAAAATAAGTAAGCATGATTGATTTAATTATTTTTGGCAACAGTCTGAGAATCTGCTCACTCTCCATCAGTCTAAGCTGCACTCCAACAGTGTGTGTACCTCTGCAGAGTGATACATGTTGAAGTGTGTGTACACACGTATGTGAAGAGTAGCATGCGTTTATCATGATGTCTAACACTCACCTCTGACTCTGAGCTGCTGCTGAGTGGAGGCTGTGCCGACTGTCAGAGCGCCACCTGCTGGACAAACCTGCAACACAGCGGACAGACGGGTTTAATACAGTCAGATAATAATGTCTGAATCATTTGTACGAATAGACGTATATAATAAACACAGTTATAATTTAGGAAAACGTTTGAACATTTTGCAGGGGAGGTTAGAAGACACAAGGCTTTATTAAGAAAACAAATATTTACTTTAAAAATGAATAAGATTACATAGTAATATAAAATAATCTGATCCACTTACTAAACTTAAACATACTGTATGACTGTATCAAGTCTGCATTTGTACAAGTGAATAAGATGATGTGCAGGTCAGAGGATAATATATCAAATTGTCAATTGGAGTTGTATTTCCTGATTATTTAATTTTTGGTAACACAAAGATGTTCAAGTTTCAAAATCATGTGACACAAGCTACCACAAAGGAAAACCTTTCATGGTCTGCCTTCAAATGTTTTACTCACTGAATGCTCTAGCATGTTTTGTTCTCAGCAGCAGAGGGAGACAACAACCTTCTCTCTGATAAACAACAGCAACACACGGACACCCCCCCTGTCAGTAAACTGTGACAGTGATGTGAACAGAAAGCTGAGAGTAAAGAGTCTCCTCGTGCTAAACATGATGTTAACTGCCTTCATATTTTACATCTTTCATCTGGCATGGATAACAGGTTAGATAAAATATTCTTTAAAAAAGTAAGGCACTGCAAAATGAACGGCTAATATCTTTAATGTTCCCTGCTTGTTCCACAGGTGCCTCAAACAGCGACAGCGTCTTCCAAACGCCTCCGTTCATCATGAAGAGAAGTGGAGAGTCTGTGGACCGGGAGATCAACTGTTCGCACAGCATACCAAGCCATGATCGCATTCTCTGGTACAAACAAGACCAACATCAAAATATGAAGTTTCTGGGATATCTGAATGTGAAGTACCCGTATCCAGAGGACGACGTGAAAGGAAAAATCAGCTTTGACGGAGATGCCAGTATACACTCTCAGTCTCGCCTCAGTGTCTCTAATCTGTCATCAGAGGACAGCGGGGTGTATTTCTGTGCAGTCAGTCAGCACAGTGCTGCAGATTCCCCTCAGCTCAATACAAGAACTCTCCTCCGTCTGTCAGAGACAACAAGCTGAGGCTCAGCACCTGCAGCTTTCAGGATAACATGAACTGTTATCAATGAACCCCCTCAGAGCTACTGACAGCATACTTGAATTCAGCCACTGTGTGAAATACAAATTGTTAAAGATTTTGTTTTATTACTTACAAGTATCTATTATTGTAAATTATTCATGATAGAATCTAAAAGAAGAGAAAAGTTTTTTTAAAAGACCTTCAAACTGAGGCGTTGATCCCTTTCTATTAGAGAGCTTTGTGAGACTTCATTCTATTTTATATTCAGCTGTCATTTTAAACAATATCAGTCCATCTCTTGACGACACATAATTTCTACATCTTGTAACTAATCCAGGTTTCTTCAGCTTCTTAGTGTAACTGATTAGCATTAACTTAATATACTACAATTTATATATATATCCTTTATTTAACCATTGAGATTAAAATCTCTTTTCCAAGAGCGACCTGGCCAAGAAGGGCAGCATGTACAAAGTTACAACAGATAAAACACAGACATGACAGGCAGACAAATACAGCTGTAAAACACAAATAAAAAGGCACATTAGCCAGTCAATATGCGAAGTAAAACTGGCAACATTTAAAACGATTTTAGGATATACGAGCACTCACATCTACCAATGATGTCGTGTTCTCTGTCCTTTAAGATGGACCTGAATTCCCCCATAGTGATTCAATCTGAGAGTTTCAGCTCCTTCTGTAAGTACATTTCTATTTCTGAAATATATTGGACTGTTTATTTCTGTGTCTTAGTTTCTCTTATGTACATTGCCTTGTGTTTGTTATGCTGCTGCAACGCAAACAAATCCTAAATTGGGATCTGGGATATCTACAATGTACTGCAGGGGGACCCCTAACACCACTTGATAAAACACTGAATGCTTTGCTCCAGCTCAGAGGAGGTTATCACACAGACACTCCCCCCTGCAGCTCTTCATACTTTATGAGGCTCTGCAGTCCCTGTCAGACATCATGGACGTGATCATCTTTAAACACAGCTTCCTCACAGTGTCCATCTTTTTACTTTGGACTACAGGTAATTTACAATAAAATCGACTGTGGACTGGTTTGTAAATATACATTATCATCAACTAATGTTCTTGTATTTGCTGTTTTTATCATTTATATTGATATTGACGTGATATAAGGAGGGTCAACAACTGAAGGTTATTATAGTATATTTTCTTGCTTCACTCAGGTCTAACTGATGGAAGCGATGTCACCCAGACTGACATGCTGTGGGAAACACAGGGAGAGAGTGCAACAATGAACTGCACACACACAAAGGGTACTAGCTACTACCAGATGTACTGGTACAGACAGCTGCCAGGAGAAACTATGGAGCTAATTGTGTTCACAACACCAGGGAACAAAGGTAATCATGATTTTGGAGAATTCGGCAAAGACAAGTTCTCAGCCACAAAGCCTGACGCTGAGAGCGGGACGTTCACAGTGAAGGGTCTGCAGCCAGGAGACAAAGGCTTGTACTTCTGTGCTGTGAGTCAACACAGTGACACACACACAGGACGAGGCTGAACAAAAACCCCAGATATTTGGCTGTTAGTGATTCTATGTGTCTGCTGTCCTGTAGGGGGACCTCCAGTTTAATCACAGAATCATTCAGTTCAGAGACGCTCCCAGCTGTTCATCTCTCTGTTGTAACCTCACACCTCCATCACACACGGACTATAACACTGATCACAGCTGCTCTGATTAAACTAACCCTAAACTGGAGGTTCTGGATGTTACGACTCATGACAGAGCTTATGTGTTGATGATTCTGACAGTAGAGCAGAGACTCACTGGTGGTTCTGGAACATGTGGTTTTGTGTTTGACCCTCACAGGAGTATTGGTGGGAGTGATGTGATCCAGTCCTCTTTGCTTTAAACACTGCAGTCACACAAAGGACGTTAGCTCTATCCAAATGTTTTAATGTGGGCTTCAATCGACAATTACTTTTTGTTATGCATTAACCTGCCCATTATTTTCTAGATTAATTGTTTAGTCTTCAAAATGTCAGGAAATAGTTAAAGTCCATAGTAATGTCTTGTTGTCAGTTTATTACCCACACATATTTACTTTATGTGATCTAAAGATTAGATTTTTGAGGCTGAAACATCTCATTTACATTGTTTACATAAAAATATGTTTTGTTGATTAGTCAATGCAGCTCTACTCGTACCATATCTGAATTGTTTACATCACATGACCATCAGCTTCGTGGTGTAGCTGTTCAGCACTAAAGTAAACAAACTGTGATGTACTTCAGGGGGACCCCCAGTACCTCCTATACTACCACCTTTACTTTGTGAAATACTGAGTGCTACCTCACAGGATGTGATCACATGATGCAGGGACACTCCCACCTGCAACTCTTCATACTTTATGAGGCTCTGCAGTCCCTGTCAGACATCATGGACGTGATCATCTTTAAACACAGCTTCCTCACAGTGTCCATCTTTTTACTGTGGACTACAGGTAATACTGTGCGCTGCTTTACTCATCAATATCAAATAATGTCCATGTGTTATGCTAATTAAGGTGTTGTAGTTAATTAAGGTGCTGTTTTTGTCGACACTCAGGTCTAACTGATGGAAGCGATGTCACCCAGACTGACATCCTGTGGGGAACACAGGGAGAGAGTGCAACCATGAGCTGCAACCACACAAAGGATGCTAGCTACTTCCAGATGTACTGGTACAGACAGCTGCCAGGAGAAACTATGGAGCTAATCGTGTTCACAATATCAGGGAACAATGATAATCATGATTTTGGAGAATTCGGCAAAGACAAGTTCTCAGCCACAAAGCCTAGCGCTGAGAGCGGGACGTTCACAGTGAAGGGTCTGCAGCCAGGAGACAAAGGCTTGTACTTCTGTGCTGTGAGTCAACACAGTGACTCACACACAGGAGGAGGCTGAACAAAAACCCCTCTGTTGGTGTCACATGAATAAAAGAGATCAGTGAGTTCAGTTATCTGCAGGTGGAGCTCGACACTGCAGACTGGTTCTTAGTATGCAGTGTCATTAGTGACTTGTTGTCAAAGTGAATGAGAAATCACAGGCAATACATAGACATTGTTCTCCATACTGCTGAGCATGTTTCCGGATGTTTGTAGGATTTCATTCAGTTCAGAGCTTATTTGATATCATCATGTGAACAGTGACATTTATAGACATATACTTGTCAATTGTGTTTTGTGTTAAATTGTTTTTAATGTGCCTTTGTGACTCTTTTCCTCTCCCCTGTTTCACAGTTCAATGTCTGTGCTGGGTTTTGCGACTGAGTTTAGAATATAAAACATTTCATCTATAGACCATCGCCTCCGTGTCTAATGTCAAAGTTATGTGAAGTGCACCTCGGAACAAAAGGAAAATGTTAGTTATTAATATAACATTTAGTTACATTATGTTTGACTACTAGCTAATGTTTGAGCTAGAGAGCAGGACTTTTACATGTTGACATATAAATGTATGTCCAGGGATATTGATGGATCAACAACAGCGAAGAGTAAGATGGAAGGTGTGGCAGGACATGCTGAGGTTTTTCTGAAGTGGGTGATCCAGATGAATGAAGAGCTTTAGCATTCAGAGGAAGCTTTAAAGTAAAGAAATGGCTGTAAAGGAGATGCAGCGAGCTCACCTGCAGACATACTGTACGTACGTCATAAGCATCAGCATTGTTGGTGTGATTCCTCTCGCTGCCAGAGACAAAGATTATTCAAGACAATTGTAGACGTATTTCTTGGATCTTCATTTATTTAATTTATATTATTTATCTTTTGCATTTTATTTATTTATGAATTCCTTTCTGATCAATTCTTTTCAATCGTTGGTTTGTAAAACACCATTTCTTTTTGTATTGATGACGTCAGCTCTCATCGTCACCGTTTGTCTGCTCTGTGCTGCAGGTTTTATACATATCTTTCAATTAGTTATGTCAGAAACGTCTTTACGCTTGTCCTCTGCTGTTCTCTCTGAATCCATTGCTTCATGGTATCATTTTATTCTTTAACAGATTAAATAATCATTGAGCTGATAAAATGTCAGAAAATAATTAAAATAATCGTTTTCAAAGCAAAATTATCACTCGTCACCGGCTTGATCTTCAATATCAGGATCCATGTATTTATTATCCTTGCAAGAATGGAAGTAGCCATCACACACAGAGCTGCGTGGGACAACTAGTTCCCAGAACAGTGTCTTTCAGATGCTTATATACAAGGTGTTGTGGAAATATTTCCCAAGGCCCATAACTTTGACCCAGTTGATCAGTTCAAACTGTCCGGACTGAGCACACGCACCTCGTAACCTTGGCTGCTGTGCTCTCAGTGTTCTGTCTCCCTGTTCCTGCCTGTTGGCGTCAGCTGAGGTGTTATGATTTTATCTTGTTATGCAGCATGTTGATGATGCTCTCAGAACTAGTTAAATACACGGGTCTGAGGTAGAGTTCTTTAGAATTGACGTGGCAACCCACCCGTGCAGTCTCACCGGGACTGCTGTGGTTTGTGATGTGAACGCTCCGAAACTCCAATAAATCATCAGTGTTTTGACATCAAAGCTACTGCTCTACCGTGTCTCCTTCCTGAGTCGGTGACTCCCACTGCATAGCTACACAGAAGTTTCCCTTACACAAGGGAGGGGGTTACAGTCAACAAGATGGAAGAATACTGGTTCAAAGCAGTATTCTGACATTAGTAAAGATTAGCTAAGGCCTGCGTAAGCAATACACATGACAGTCATATGTCTATCTCTCTAGGGGCTGTGTCATCTGCCAATCTGAGGAACATAGCTATCATAACTCCATCCGGCTACGTACACAGCTACGTAGGGCCTCTGCTATCATGTGCTACTCTGATATAGAAGGAACATTCCCAACAAAACCTATTCAGACCAATTATTTGAAAAAATAAAAGCAGTCTTGAGATTCCAGAAGCGGGAACCAGTACATGATTTTTTTGGTCTTAATAAGTTGTATTGCCATCTACATTATATATTGAAGGTGAACGTGTCACATGTCTGTCTCCTCCCCTCTAAGTTGACTCTGGTTGTGTTCAGTCGGTCTGAGAGAGGAGGGTGAAGACATCATGATCAGAGACATCCTCAGCATCTCCCTGCTGCTGCTCCTGCTCTCCTGTACGGTTCTATTCAAAGTCTTTGCTGGAGGTTTAATCTTTTGTAAACATGTCTGTGTTCCTAAAGCTTTTCTCTTTAAATGCAGGTCCTTCACTGAGCAGGGGAGTCTTGCAGGATCCATCATTGATATTAGGAAGTCCTGACACTCCAGCAACAATCAGCTGCAGCCATTCAATCAGTTCATACAATATGATCCTGTGGTACCAGCAGCCGACGGGCCACTCACACCTCAACCTCATTGGATATGTTTATGTTACTAGCCAATCCATTGAGGATGCATTCAAAGGGCATTTCGAAGTGAGTGGAGACGGCTCAGTGGAGTCTGAACTCCATGTGCTGAAGCTCAGACAGCCAGAAGACAGCGCCATGTATTTCTGTGCAGCTAGTCGACACAGTGACTCAGAGTCGCTCTCGCTGCGACAAAAACCCTCTCTGATAATCAGCCTCATGAAATCACTCTGATGAACGACACACCTGCATCACACTGTGGCAGGAAGTCACCACGATACCATCAGCATACCACTGGAAACCAACAATACTGACACTAGGTTTTCTCTCATTATTGATTAAACTGCCAATTATTTCATTTAGTAAAACATTTAGATTCCTTAAAGTCCAAGGTGAAGTCTTTAGGTGCCTTGTTTTGTCAGTCCAAAACAGAGGTGCTAAATGCTGAGTGACAACTTTGGAGGGAGAGGTAACTTATGCATTAGTATTATTTGATGGAATATACTTAGACTGGGCATCTCTGCAGCATTACAAAACTGTATTCAAAATGCTATTTTGCCGATAACAAATAGTGTGCAGCAGTTTGGATAATAAGACAAAAAATGCTGCAATTAAAAAGATTTAAAGATGTCAATAGAGTTGCAGAGTCGTTGCTTTGTTGATTGATGTATCCACTGCAGACTTAGGACAGCCCATAACGTCGACCCCTCCTACTTCCTTTTCACATCCAGAGCTAAGTTCAGTCAGCCTTTTAGTTTTGTTTTCATCTGCGTTAGGATCATGGTTAGACTCCTTGTACTTTTAGCAGCTTTGCCGTTCTGCTTAACAGGTAATGTTAAATTAACTCATAAAAGGTACCAGAATTCACGTTTATCTCAAAGTTGTTGGTTTAAAAGGTTTCTCGAGAACTTGCCCTTTGCTTTTACTCCCTGGTGGTTGTTGTCTTTTTGTTTTAATTAAGTCTGACAGCTATGTGACTCCACTACCTCCTCTGTCTCTCAACGTCATGTTTTGCCATCATACTCTTGTATTGTTTCCTCTTTATTTGTACCATAAATAACTAAATATGTGTTTCAGAACCGTCAGAGAACAGCGTTCATCAGAATCCCACGGCGCTGATCAAACACCTTGGAGAAGACGTCCTGATAACGTGCAGCCATTCCAGCACACGCTTTGATCAGATCCAGTGGTATAAACAGTCTGCTGGGGGAAATGACATGGTGCTACTCGGCTATGTACGATTCACTAATCCAGCTGTGGAAGCTCAATTTAAAGGCACTTATAACGTGAGTGGTAATGGGCAAAGTCTGGCACATCTTCATATTCCAAAGACACGTCGATCTGAAGACAGCGCCGTTTATTTCTGTGCTGCCAGCGAAGCACAGTGCTGCACAAACCCTGCGTCTTCAACAAAAACTCCCTGTAATGCAGCCGGATACACAATGTGGAATTACCACATGAATAAGGAATACGCCACATAGTGAGTGACTGATATCAGACAGCTGGCTCACTATAAGACAGTCGGACAGAGGGAAAGACAAGCAAACATTTTTTATTTTTAGTAAGACATACATTTTTAAATATATTATTTTAAGGTTTTTGGAGAGTGCTGTGTATTTTGTTGCTGTCAGCAAACTGGTTGACATTACATTTGAATGTTTCTGTCACTCCAGTAGGTGGCGCTGTAGCTCCAGAAATACTCTCTTGTGAAACACATGAAGCACTATGAAATATAAAGTAGCTAGGGAATATGTGAAAGGAGGATGTTGATAAAGAGTCGACAGCATCAGAGCCACGCAGTGTGTTCACTCAGCGAGGACAAGATGCCAACATTATTCTTTTTATCCTGGCTCATTGGTAAAATATGTAACCATTCAAAAATAACACTATCTATAGATCCTGCATTGATTGATGATTTATTTTTCTTTTTAGGCATTTGTGTGAGTCTTGATGTGCGTCAGTCTCCCTCTCTTATCAAAAGACCTGGAGACAAAGTGAAAATCTCCTGCAGCCATGATAAAACGGACTACACATTGATGCTCTGGTACCAGCGCTCACCTGGAGACACAGCTCTGAAACTCATCGGGTATTTGAATTACCAAGCTGTCACAATGGAGGAGCCATTTAAAGAACGTTTAAAAATCTCTGGAGATTTGCGTGGAGTAAAGAATGGCTCTCTTACAGTCCGAATGTCTGGAGTTGAGCACAGTGCAGTTTACTTCTGTGCAGCCAGCCAAGCACAGTGACTGTAGCTTCCTTCTCCTTAATACAAAAACATCCAACCCTTATCAGTAGTTATGGTTGTCAATGACACATTCAACAGTCCCCTCCCAGTCAGCTGCATTCATCACTTCCATTTCCTCTTCAAACCTCACTCAGTCAGTGGAGGCATCTGCAGACCTCCATCACATGACAGAGTCACACTCAGTGATGTGATGTAAGATCCCAGAGACCATATCTAAAATTCGTCATAGTCAGCCTGACAAGTCATAATGATCGGCTTTCTCCTCTTCGGTTGTCTGGCAGGTGAACAAATATAACCAGCATGGGTTGAATCATGGGTTTCTCATTATCTATGATTTTGTAACAATGTTTGTTTTATGTTCTTTATCCAGGTGTTAGTCTGGGTCTTGATGTGCGTCAGTCTCCCTCTGAGCTCATCAAATCTCCTGGAGACAAAGTGCAGCTCTCCTGCAGCCACGACAGAACAGACTACAGATTGATTCTCTGGTACCAGCGCTCACCTGGAGACACAGCTCTGAAACTCATTGGGTATTTGTATTTTAAAGATGCCACAATGGAGGAGCCATTTAAAGATGATTTTGTCATGTCTGGAGATCTGGGTGGGAGTGCAGCAAAGAATGCCTCTCTAATATTCAAAGCTGTGAAACCAGAGCACGGTGCAGTTTACTACTGTGCAGCGAGAGAAGCACGCTGACAGGAATCCCCTCTGAACTTTACAAAAACTCTGAACCATCTTCTTTCATGAGACGTGGAATAAACTGCTCAGACACACCTGCATTTGTGGTTGTATTTTGGTTTGATGCAATCATTTCATCATCAGCAAATACACTTGTGTTTGTATTTGTTTGGTTTATTACAATTTAACAAGGCAAATGTGCAGTAACATCATTTAATATCTGATCAAAATGTGTCAAAAGCTAAGTGTCTTTTAAGAGGGAAGTACGTAGATAAACATAGACAAATATATCTTACATGAAGCCACTCCTCCTTCCTACATCACATCTGCTTCCTCCTTAAAATGTGACTGTGAGAGTATAGCAGCAGATAATTGTTCATGACCTAACGATCACTGCATTTCCTCCATCACTTCAGAGTCATTCAGTCTCTACAAGATCATTACATTTCTCTTTTGCCATTTCCTCACGGGAAACATCTACTTTACAGTCAAATAAGATGTCCTTTACTTATCAATTTCCCATCTAAAACCACTAATGTGTCCTCCTCTGTTTACAGCAGGTGTTTCTCTGGGGATTCAGGTCCACCAGTCTCCCTCTGCAGTCATCAGAAAGGCTGGAGAAGACGTGCAGCTTTTCTGCACTCACGGACAAACCGACTACAGAGTGATGCTGTGGTACCAGCAGCCCCCCGGGGACAAGGCTCTGGAACTCATTAAATAGTTTTATTCAAGTATCCAAGTAATGATTGTTGCATGTTTTAAATGTATTGTATTTACTTGTTTAAAATTAAATGTGTTTTAGGTTGACTTTTAAAATCTGTCCAGGGACTACAGATGAAAAATAGCCTCTTGGCTAACTCTGGCACGTTTACAGAAATGTTCATTAATGTGCACTGTCCCTGTTAAATAAATGAATAAATAAATAGGATATGGATATTCACAGTTCACAAACGACAGTCATAAAGACATTGACGCTCTCAGACAAAAACCTGCTGGACGATCCAGAAGATAACAAACCACTGAAATCATGTGACTTCTCATAGAACTTGACATTACATAGAGCTAGTTTACACCAATTAAATGTAGACAAAGATGTGTAAACATTATTCTGGACTGACAGCAATTTTTAATTCATTGGGTAGTTTGGTGACTGTCGCCTTGCATCAGGGGTCCAATGTGGAGAAATCACTTTAGAGACTGTCAGCACCTTAAGCTTCATATTCTCAGGAGCCAACGAGGATTAGCTGGTGAATAGTGTTATTGTTTGAGACTGAAACTGGACCTGATGTCAGATGTAACTACAAAAACAGGACACATAAATATGAGAAGGCCATGTCCGACAGGCAAGGTTAGGTTGTTCTCATGTTCCACCACCAGGCCGCAGCGTCATCAGACGTAACAATGCGTGGCATAGCCTTGTACATGTGCAGCTCCTTCTCTACCTGGTCCTGGATGGGCATGGAATCTTTTGAGCATTCTCATCAGCAAACAGCTCCTGTAAAAAGCATGTCCCTGTAAACACAAAATTAAAAATGATATTGTTATTGTGGATGAGGTCTGGGCAGCTAGAAAATTAGTATAATTGTCTTTGCGTACCGAAATGTAGGTGCTTCTACTTCTGAGAAGGGATGCAGCCTTTTCACCACAAAAGCAGTGACTTTTCTGTGGCACTCCTCACGTTTCTCTACTGTCACCTTTCTCTTTGCTGCTAAGGTGAATGGGTTGACACGGGCTGGGACGGGCTTGTTAGCTTGAGCCGTTGTAGCCGCGCAACTACGCGACCGCAAACTTTCATCTACAAAAGTATTAAATATCCACACATTTTACACACAGCCTCTCAAACAAAACAACCATCCTTTAGTTTTGAGTGATGTTAACTTAACATACCTGATTGCGAGGGCTCCGCTGAGGAAGCGCTCAGTGTTGGTTGAGCCGGGACGACAGCGGAAGACGACGGTGGTTATGAGGCGGACGGAGACTGGCGCAACAGGTTGAAAACTGTACACTCCTTGATCTGTATACCGTGCAGGCGAAGGTGTTTTGTCATATTGGTCGTGGTCCCTCCTTTGAAGGAAATACGTTTGGAACAGGGGTGCACATAACTTTTTTGCCCTGGTTCTCAAAGGAGCACCTGGAGATGTTGCTTGGTGCTCATCCTTAAAATGAAATAAACCGTAACTTTTGAGGGGGTCTTGACTTTATTTGCCAGACACACGGCACTGAACACACATGCAGAGGTGAACACTGAACACACATGTAGAGGTGAACACAGAACACACATGCAGAGGTGAACACAGAACACACATGCAGAGGTGAACACAAGACAACATTAGCACGACCAGTAATCCTACAAGCTGTCATCACTACCCTCCTGACTGTTCTCCTCACTGTCTTCCTCTCTGTCAGACATGGTAGCTGATGATGTAGGCCTACTTCTTTCTCTCTGGTTGAGTCTGTGATTAGCTGCTTGCATCCACAAGTCAACAGCTGGGTTTGGGTCGAAAGTCTCTGTTGTCATCTTAGACAAGTGGATGTAATCAAATAAGTATGTGAACATAACCAATAACCTACCATAGCCAATAACAAATTAATGTAACTTATTTTATTTGTGTTGTTCATTCATATCTTATTTTACCTTAACATTTATTTATGCATTTTTTTTAATCTCTCCAGTTTTAAAGGATATTTTTGGTTACTGTCCTATAGTATACATTGGAATGATTTAAAATCTGTGTATCCCAATAATTATAAAGGAGTGCCTTGAAAATATGTGTTTACATAAATTGCGACCAAACCGTTTGAACTTAGACTAAGAGTCCTTACCTCACTGAGCTGTAGTTATCAGTCTGACTGGAGAGGACTCTCCCTCCACATTATTGTAGAAACATCTTCTTCTTATATCCGTTAGAGCAGCTAGCACGGCACCAGATTCTAATAACAACATCGCTGGTACCGGTGCACCCTCCCTCTCTCCCTCGCATTTTGGCTGTGACCTGCGGGCGCCAGATAAGCCAACATCCCCCATTTTCATCACTTACAGCGCCCATCATACAGGGCAAATGAAACGTGTAACCGGGATGAAAAGGGTGTTACATTTACTTAATTATGAATATTGTTACATCAAGGCCGAAAATTAGAATGAGCCCCAACGGTCAAAATGTTTTTTTTCCTCCCAGAACTGCCAGCACAGCGCCTCCACAGATCTGGCGCCCTAGGCGAACATCTAGCCAGCGCTACGGGCCGACCCTGAGTTCATATCATGGTTCATACATGTATGCAACTCGCAAATATCTTTCTCTCTCTCTCTCTCTTCTCTCTCTCTCTCATCTCTCCTCTCTCCTCTATTTTCCCTTCTCTCTCTCCCTCTCTCCCTCTCTCAATGTTGGTACGCAAATGCGCTTTGTTTCAAATGACCCGGTGCTCTTTTTTTGGCGGAGGTGCGCATGCGCACCAGTTATGTGCAGCCCTGGTTTGGAACACCCATTGTCTTTCCTAACAAAGTGAATCCACACTTTAGAGCGTCTACCGTCATTCATGATCGGTGGTTCCAGGTTAAGTTGTAGGAAGTGTAGGTCCAACGCTACATTTCCCGCATCGCCGCAGTCATACAGTAGACTAGGAGAGCGGCGAGAAACATTTCCTCAGCCATCGAAAAGCTGAACCGAAATTCACATTTCTAAATGATGCCGTTGGAATCTAAATGTTGGAACGGTTCTCGGTACCCAACCCTATTTATGAGTGAACATTTTTCAGACATTTTACCAACATGAAGTTTCTCAATATAACTCTTTAAAAGAGTCACAATAACCCAGAATCAGGACAGGAAAAACTGCAGAAACCGTTCATGTCAGGAGAACAAGAACTGTTATTTTCCAAATAATTCTCCGAACAAAAACTGCTATTTTCCAATAAATTCAGGGACCCCTAACAGTCAAATAAACTAGAGAAGATAACATTTACAGCTTTTTTCACTTCTAAACCCCTGTGGGCAAAAATAACAGGCAAGATGAGCACTGAAGTTCACTGTTGAACTAAAGTTATCCCAATATCAGACTAACTGTTAGCTAAACTACCAGAGTAAGACATAACCATTAGTTAGCTTAGCCAAACATTGCTAGCTGGCTAAGGGCACAACTCACAATATGCCTGTTAGCACAAGCAGCAGTTTCTTACCTTTGTGAAGTGAAGATTCAGAGAGAAGTGCACCTAGAGTCCGAAGCAGCCAAAATCATGACTCGGTGTTGGTGTGAAGAACATCCTCCAACACAAACAAATGGACTCCTGAAGCAGCTTGGAGACGGTAGTAACATAATTCCTTCCGGTAAAGTTGTCTAAAGTTTTTAGTATTTTGCAAATAACTTTGGTGTTTCAGACGGTGGGAATTTCGTGTATCCACCTTCAACCGCTGAAAACAGTGGGGGAGGGGGCATTGGGGGAGGGGGGCATTGCCAGATTAGAAGAGCGGTGTAATTAACTGGTGGTGACCAATCACATTACGCCAACGTCACTAAAATCTCATCCAATCATGTCAGATGGTTTCTTCAATCAACCCAATTTACAGAATAGCAATCTTTTTTTTTTTAACAATAAACCAACACAAAATATTCACAAAAGGGATTGGACCAATAGATAAAAAGCAATGTCTGGGGAAAAGATGTTGTTTTTTTTCATCGCTAGTTTTCTGAAAAGTACATTTTAAATATGGAAAATTGGGCATTCGCTTCTGCTATCTTTTGGGAAATGAAGAATAAATATTCAAACAATAACATACAGTTAGTAAAATGAACAGCTAAATGTATATTTTGGTGTATTTCCTTTCACTAGTCTAAAATACGACACGGGATAGAAATTTAATAAACTTGCCTTGCCTTCACCAGCCAGCTGCTGTCAAGGTTCCTGTCATGTGATTTCTACCTCACTTCCTCATTTATCTGCAGCTTTTTTTTCATTATCAGTCCAGCCATAAAGCCAGGGTTCGCCTCTCATTACCATCATTGAGAACTAAATCTGCATGTGACAAAGAACCAAAATGATTTGTTGTCTACTTTCCTGTTATCTTATAGGTAATGTGAATTATTCTCCGGATTAACTTGTTTTTATATTCAAGCGTTAACTAGGTATTCTCTCTCTTTTTGCAGGTGTTTCTCTGGGAGTTCAGGTCCACCAGTCTCCCTCTGCTGTCTGCAGAAAGGCTGGAGAAGACGTGCAGCTTTTCTGCACTCACGGACACACTGAGTACAGAGTGATGCTGTGGTACCAGCAGCCCCCCGGGGACCAGGCTCTGGAACTCATTGGATATGGATATTCACAGTTCACAAACGACAGCGTGGAACAACGGTTTAGAAAACAGTTTAAATTAGCTGGAGATTTGAGTGAGGATAAAATAAAAAATGGTTTGCTTTCCATAAAGAATCTAAAAGCACTTGAACACACCGCCACCTACTACTGTGCAGCCAGGATGGCACAGTACATCAAACACCTATCTACCCCTCACAAAAACTTCTCCAACCCCCCCCCCCCACTCTGAAAGTAGGTTAAAGAGTAAAATATCTCCCTGTGATCATGAGAGGTCTCATGCAGTTCAGGAAAAGGCAGACTGAATGATAGAAAGTGTAGTGTCAACTTATTCTCTGATTTCTCTACATCACTTCCTGTCCCTCCTCCTGATCCACAAAGCTGAGAGACTGAGCTGCTTCTTCACATTCAACATGAAGCCATCTCAATGCATCGTTTCCATCATCATCGTCTTCTGGGTTAAAGGTATTGCACATTAATAAAGCCATTTTGTCTTACTTAGGCACAAGTTCACCAGTCAAGGTGAAAGATTGATTTTCCAGTAAATGCAACAGCTCCAAGTGCCAGATAACTTAATGGCATCTTGATCTCTTTCCAGGAGTTTCCCTCAGTAATGACAAAGTGTTTCAGACTCCCTCTGAACTGATAAAGGAACCAAACGGTGAAGCCACGCTGAGTCTGGAGCATCAGGACCAGAGCTACGACACTATTCTGTGGTATCAGCGCTCAGCAGGAGACACGTCTCTGAAGCTCATCGCCTACATGTATTATGGAACTGCTAACGTGGAGTCGTCGTTCAAAAGCCACTTTAACGTGAGTGGAAATGGAGAGAAAAGAGTTTATCTCCACATCCTGAAGCTGGGACACCCTGAACACAGCGCAGAGTATTTTGGAGCGGCACGTATACACAGTCATAAAGACAGTGAGGCTCTCAGACAAAAACCTGCAGGAGGATCCAGAAGATAACAAACCACTGAAATCATGTGACTTCTCATAGAACTTGACATTACATAGAGCTAGTTTACACCAATTAAATGTAGACAAAGATGTGTACATTATTCTGGACTGACAGCCATTTTTAATTCATTGTGTAGTTTGGTGACTGTCGCCTTGCATCAGGGGTCCAATGTGGAGAAATCACTTTAGAGACTGTCAGCACCTTAAGCTTCATATTCTCAGGAGCCAACGAGGATTAGCTGGTGAATAGTGTTATTGTTTGAGACTGAAACTGGACCTGATGTCAGATGTAAAACAGGACACAAAATAGAGATGTGTTGTTTGATAATATTTCACATGATTATGTTGGAGACAACGGATCTCTTACGGCATGCAAACAGTGACTTCTCAGTAGCTAAATAATGAGAAGTGTGATATTCTCATCAGGTGTTATGGAGCAGGCGGTGTAACCTGTTCATATAAAGACTTTATCAACAACACCTTAGAGCAGGGTCCTGATTCAACCAACAGGTGGAGGCACAGCACATGGTGTGCAGCTTTTATCATGGGGATGTGGTGATAAATCAACCCACAAACTCACACTAACCCAACCCCCCTCCCTCCCTCTTCACCCTGAGACTTATTTTTCTCAGAGAAATGCTTTTCATCACACCAGTGCCAGACCATGTCTTCCCCTCTGCAGATCTTTGTTTTCTTCTGTTTTTACTGTAAGATGATTTTCTCCACGTTGTAATTAATTACATACATTTAGCCGTTAAATATAATTAACATTTTATAACATTTCCGTCAATGACATTTACAAATCTGTTTTCTCCACAGGTCAGGTGAGCGCTGTTAGATTTCAACCATCTCCTGCTCAGATAGTGGAGGAGAGCACTGAGGTCCAGATTACATGCAGCCATGACGATTCTACCCTTTCAGCAATGCTCTGGTATCAGCAGAGAAAAGACAGTCTCTCTATGACCCTCATTGGGTATGGATATGTAACCGGCCAAAACTACGAGGGTCAGTTTGAAAAAGAGTTTGAGCTGACGAGAGAAGACACGCTGAAAGGAGCTCTGATTATACGCTCAGCAAACCTGTCACACTCGGCTGTGTATTTCTGCGCTGCCAGTACACAGTGATGTGGTGAACGCCAGTCCCTTACTAAAACCCTCATCTCTTTCCTGAACACGAGATCTGTGCATGTTCACAGGAGGCGGTGTCTCTACACACCATCAGAGGCAGCAGTGTTTCTCCTGCTACAGCACAGACCTGAAGGATGTCTCCAGCTGTGATAGCATTTATCCTCATCTTGCTTTCATGTAAAGAAATTACTTCAAAAAACAGCTATTTATAAGAATGGTTTTATTTTAGGTGGATTCTGTATGAACTAATTTTTCAATCGATTTCCCACAGATCAAGCTGAGGGTGTGAGGTTTGAGCCGTCTCATCCCAGAATAGTCAACGACAAAGCCAGGGAAGAAATTAAATGCAGTCATAATGATAACAACATGTATGTCATGCTCTGGTACCAACAAACAGAGAAAGGTCTGATGAATTTGATTGGATATAGCATCAACGTTGGCAGTGACCCTATCTATGAGAAGGAGTTTGAAAAGCGGTTTGAGATAACAAGAGAAGACATCAAAAAAGGAGCCCTGATTATTCCTCGTGTGAGTGCATCACACTCGGCTGTGTATTTCTGCGCTGCCAGTACACAGTGATGTGGTTTAATGCCACTCCCTTACTAAAACCCTGCTCCCTTTTTCTCATGTTCAAAAGCTGAAAGGCAGACTGAACTACCGTTCTGACATTACACAGACACAGGATTTTAAATTCAAAATAATGTTGTTCCTCACAGTCAATTCTTAAATGATCATGTTCTTATGATTAAAAGTGTTTCAGACATTTTACCAACATGAAGTTTCTCAATATATACTCTTTAAAAGAGTCCTAATAACCCAGAATCAGGACAGGAAAAACTGCAGAAACCGTTCATGTGAGGAGTCTGGAAAAAACATGAGAAAAAAAACCAGTTAATTTTCAAATAAATTCTCAGAACAAAAATTGTTATTTTTCCAATAAATTCAGGGACACCTAACAGTAAAGTAAACTAGAGAAGATAACATTCACAGCTTTTTTCACCTTTAAAACTCTGAGCAAAAATAACAGAGCAAGATGAGCAAGTTATAACTTAGCTATAGTAAAGTTTGCCTTTGAAATGTTACCCATAACAATGCCATGACCGTTGGTTAGCTTAGCCAAACATAGCTAGCTCATGCAAAGGCACAAATCAAATAAATAAACTCACAATAAACAAAGAAGCCATAACCTGTTAGTAAAACTGACAACCAATGTTGATGAGTCCACAACTATTAACGTTTCTACTAAACTAAGGGACCAGTAACGTAAACCAGTGTGTATATATAAACCAACCAAATGTAGTAACTGTTAGCTAGCTTAGCAAAACAGAGCTAGCATATGCAAGGAAGGGCACAAAGGCAAAACATTAACTCAACATAAACATATTGGCACAAACGGCTAAGTATTTCCTTAGTAATGTGAAATTGTGCTTATAATGTCAAGGGCAGAAAATGTAAAAAAAGTCTAAAGAGGACAGAAGTAGAATATTAAAACTTCAGGCAACCGTTGGTGTCAGGATAACCGTTAATCTAATTAAATCTGTAAGAAACAAAATAGCAGCTAGTACAAAGACAAGGAGGAAGTCTGAAGTTCACCGTTAGCTAGCCCAACGTTAGCCTCTTAACAGTTAGCTTAGCATTACCAATTTGAATGTTGTAACCGTTAGTTAGCTTAGCCAAACATAATTAGCTTATGAAAGAACCCAAAGTCAACACATTAACTCACAAATTACATATTAGCACAAGCTGCAAAGTGTTTAGTGAGGTGACATTGTGATTTCTGGAGTAAATTATAAAACATTTTAAAGAGTCCTGAGAAGTAGAATATTAAAACGTCATACAACAGTTGGTGTTAGAACCGTTGAACCGTTATTTCCACAAAACGAAGGGACACCAACACGGTAACGTTAGCTAGCTTAGATTACAGTTTAATAAACGTTAGTAAAGATACACTGGGCTACCGTCAACTAAGCAGTTACCTCTGGGAGCATCATAAAAGCAGCCTACCTAAAAAAGCAAAATAGCCTCTTCCCTGAAGTTCACTGTTGAACTAAAGCTATCCCAACGTCAGACTAACTGTTAGCTAAACTACCAGAGTAAGTCAAAAACCATTAGTTAGCTTAGCCAAACATTGCTAGCCGGCTAAGGGCACAACTCACAATATGCCTGTTAGCACAAGCAGCAGTTGCTTACCTTTGTGAAGTGAAGATTCAGAGAGAAGTGCACCTAGAGTCCGAAGCAGCCAAAATCATGACAGAAAAACTCGGTGTTGGTGTGAAGAACATCCTCCAACACAAACAAATGGACTCCTGAAGCAGCTTGGAGACGGTAGTCATAATTCCTTCCGGTAAAGTTGTCTAAAGTTTTTAGTATTTTGCAAATAACTTTGGTGTTTCAGACGGTGGGAATTTCGTGTATCCACCTTCAACCGCTGAAAACAGTGTGGGGGGGGGGCATTGCCAGATTAGAAGAGCGGTGTAATTAAGTGTGGAAATCTCAAATGGACCAGAACATGAAAGGAAAGTCAAGCTGTACCTGAAACCACACAAAGCTAAGATGTTCATATAAGTGAGCAGGTGTCAGTGTGGTAAAGGTCCTATTCAATATTTTTAGTCCGACTGACCTTCATCTGTGTCAATCTCTGCTTTAGTGTCTGTTATTTTATTTCATTTTATTCTGTGTGACGGGATCAAAGTGTTGTGAAGAGATTGTCATACACTGACCTCTTCAGGGTTCATGTGGGATTACACTTAGAATACAAATACAAATCACCTTGAGCTTTTCAAAAGTCAGGATGTGTCAACGTCAATATTTACTACAGAGGAAAAAAAGACCATCACTATGAACCAGTGTTTTGGTCAGGCAGCAGTCCAAACATCAACATTATTAATAATTCACGTCACTCCAACCTTACAAATGTTTCCAATTAATTTTCTGTCAATCCACTTATTGATTATTGGACTTTCAGCTGTACTAAATTGTTGGCTTGCTTGATTTTTAACTAAACATTTTACATGTACACTGAGATAAGGCTGAATAAGCTGCAATTCATATTTACATAATACTGTATGGGACATCTACAGAACAACATCACATCTCACAATTAAGAATATATAAAACAAATATAACCAATGTTTGCACAACACACATTTTAAAAGAGTAAATATACTATCATGATTTAATGTAATGCAATGTTTAACTTAAAGTGTTTTATAGGGAGCAAATATGAAATACAAATACCAACAACTCAATTCAGAAGGACATATTTGAATCGCCTAAAATGAGTTGTCATGTTTGCAGATTCACGTTATAAGCACAAAATAAATCAACTTAAGTACTTGATAAAAAAATGTGTGTATAACTTTGAGGGGATTATTTGTTAGTGAGGAATAAATTGCTTTCATGCCACTCTGAGACATTGTTCACGTTGCTCTTTTTAAGGACTTGTGTTGCAGAAAAAGGATCCACGACGACAGCCTCACATCTGTGTGTGTGTGTGTGTGTGTGTGTGTGTGTGTGTGTGTGTGTGTGTGTGTGTGTGTGTGTGTGTGTGTGTGTGTGTGTGTGTGTGTGTGTGTGTGTGTGTGTGTGTGTGTGTGTGTGTGTGTGTGTGTGTGTGTGTGTGTGTGTGTGTGTGTGTGTGTGTCTCAGTGAAGTGACGCTGCAGGATGAAGAGGTGCCAGCGGAGACGTCCCTCCCTCTGAACACAAACACCTCTCTCCCTTCTCCTTCCTCCCTCTTCTTTTCTTAGCTGTCACAGAAATAGCAGCAGTAGAGACAGACACACACACACACACACACACACACACACACACACTCGCACCACACAGAGAGATGGAGGCTGAGATATGGAGGCGCTGGGGGGAGGGAGGGGGGAGAGAAGCAGAGAGACTTCAGGTTTTTGTCTGATGCTTTTTCATCGTGGGGACAGGGGGCCACGGTGATACAATCCTATAGAGCCGCTGTACAAAAACCTCCTCCATTAACAGCCCCTGTGTTCCTGCTGCAGGCTCCCTGTGGGGGGGGGGGGGGGGGGGGGCAGGACGGATATCAAGGGTTCAAAGTCACTGCACACTTTGGCAGTAAAACACAATTCATGTGGACAAAATCTGCAGAAGAAATAGTTTTTAAATGATCTTATTATTTATATGTGGAGCATTAGGATGCCTCTCTTTCTCGTCTGGACAGAAACCTTGGACTTGATGACATTATGAATCCTGTCCTGCATGTCTGAGCCTTCCTCCTCCTCCGAGTCTCAACGTGCTGATTCTGGAGACTTTGGAGACTTTTTGGTCGAGGAGACTCTCAGTGTGACTCTGGAGCTGAAGCTTACTTTGGAAAGGGAACGAAAGTCACTGTTTTAGGTAAGTAGCTTCTCTCCCTGCTTCAGTGTCATGCTACAAACGTAACATCGTTTTAATGTTGGTGTGAAAGTGAAGGAAAACACTGTTGTTGTGTAAGAGTCTATATATTGACCTGAAGGGAGAACACTGTGAGCAACACTCAACCTGCTTACTTTGGACAAGGAACCAGACTCACAGTTTTAGGTAAATATTTCACTAACACTGTGTTTTGATAAATGTCATAGTGCTTTAAAGTTCCATTATGAACGGAAGTATCAGTAAAAACTTTCCAAAGATAATCCTGATAGAGAAATAGTTTGATGCTCAGCGTTTCTACACTGTGACACAGCAAGCGAGGCTTACTTTGGAAAAGGAACCAAACTAACAGTTTTGGGTAAGGATGGCTCATGTATGTAACGTTTTGTAAATGACGCGGTGCATTGAACAAAGTATTTGGGTTGTTATAGTCCGAGTTGTGCTCAGAGCTTTTTGATATCAAGCTTCAGCTCTGTGCCAATTACCAAGCCTATTTCGGACAGGGAACCAAAGTGACTGTCCTCGGTGAGTAAGAGCTCTGCGTTTCTTCTCATGAATTCACCTGCTAGAGAAATGAAACGTGTTAAAGCAGGGATGTTTTTACAGCTTTAACAAAACATAAAACTGTTTTTCTCAACAACCAGACTAGTGTGGAGAAAATGTTGGTTTTAGGATTTAAAATAAAACCCAATAAAGTACGTTTGAAAGTAACTAAAAGCAACATTTCAAAATAAAAGTGTTGTGCAGTTTTGAGCACGGATCAGGCTCACTGTGACTGGTGTTACTGAAGCTTCCTTCGGTGGAGGAACTAAGCTAACAGTTTTGGGTAAGCAAGCAGAGTTTTTCTTTAACTAATGTCAAACACTTAAGTCTCGTTTAAGTTTTTTGTTCGGAAATGTTAAGCCTTATTTCGTCCAAGGAACAAACTGACTTTGTAAGTTAACATAAAGTCTAACAGGGTGGTAAAATAAATGACTGTAATGCATTCAACGCAGGCTGTAGTAATACAAGCAAGTTATTATGATCGACACAAAAAGCAGGTTGTGCAGTTTTAGACACGGATCAGGTTCACTGTGACTCTGGTGGTGCTGAAGCTTCCTTCGGTGGAGGAACTAAGCTAACCGTTTTAGGTAAGACATCAACACAAATTCTAATAACAAATATTTTGTCTTAAGTTATAGCTTACTATTTGTGGTTTGTAAGCTTAAATATTAACATAAAAACCGACTGCTCTAGTAACATAAAGTCTAAACGGGTTATTGAGAGGTTCCTAAAATAATATTGTAAAGGAAACAGGCTGCAGTTGTTGGTGAAAAAGCAGGTCGTGCAGTTTTAGACACGGATCAGGCTCACTGTGACTCTGGTGCTTCAAAGGCTTACTTCGGTGGAGGAACTAAGCTAACGGTTTTAGGTAAGAAATGACATTTGGAAAAGGTTACTGTGTCCAAAAGTGTAGCTCAAATCGTTTTGTTCTTAATCTTAAACACGAACGGAAAACATCATTTCAGAGAAACCAACGTCTCTACTCATATCAATTCGTATAGCATTGTTTTTGAGAGGTTCCTCTTAAACTCCTTGGAAAGAAAATAGGCTGTGGTTTGAAAAGTAAGTGTCATTTGTTATGAACAAATGTTTTTAAAGTAACGCAGCATGTGGAGCAGTTTTAGACACTGATCAGGTTCACTGTGACTCAGAGCTCAGAGGCTTACTTCGGTGGAGGAACTAAGCTAACAGTTCTTGGTAAGAAAATGTTCAAACTTTATTAAATATTTATCAGTTTTACTTGAATTAATTTACATTTGTTCAGTATCTTTGCACTCAATGCAAACAAGCTTTCTTTGGGGTGAAGGAAGTCAAGAATGGTTCAAGATTTTCCATTTTCCATTTTCCTTTGCAAAGCTTTGTTTCAGGATCGATTCTTAATGTAATGTAATTATGTTAATAGATCATTAAATACTGTTAAGATATGATGTTGTGAAGACGTTTCTGACACTGCAAAGAAACTCTAAGGTTCGAAACAGACTAGTCACCAATGTGTTATACTACTAGATCAATTAAACAAAACATATCCACAGAAAGCATAGATAGTGATCAAAAAGCGACAATAAGTCCAGAAGGTTTGGACTTTATTGCAAAATATAAAATGTGTGCATGACAGAGAGAGACATAGTTATTAAGTGCAAGAGAGAGACAGAGAGGCAGCAGGGAGAGTTTGTGTGACAGTGGAAAGTCTCTGTGCTCATACTTCGAGGCGTACTTCGGAGCTGGGACTAAACTCACTGTTTTAGGTAAGAAACGCTGCAGGAGAAACGTCTCTCAGCAGGATGATCACTTTATTAGCAGAAAGCAAGTAAGAAAAATGTAAAAATATGTTTTAAAACGTAGGTCGTAGGAAATTAAGTATTCTGCTTTTAAAAAGTGCGAAAAGACGTTATGGTGGAAGTTTGTGCCACGCTGTCTTTGCTGAGCAGTAAAACAGCACAGCAGTCAATCTTCTGGCTGAGCTCCAGATTATTTCTCTCACAGCGACATCTGAGAAACTCTGAGTTCAGTCAGGAGCGGCAACTAAACTCACCGGTTTAGAGGATATATAACAACTAGTCAGCACCAAGTTGTTTCTTACTTTCAGGCTGTACAAATAACTTCAATCAGGAACTAAACGATGTCAAGTTAAAGTAAGTATCTATACTTGAATGTGTGCATAATGGTTTAACTAACTGTAAAAACAGCGCAGACAGTAGCGAGGCTTCAGCGCAGCAGTTTTCCTGAAGCCTTGTTTCAGTGTGAACAACTACGACCCTGCTTACTTTGGCAGAGGCACCAAACTCACAGTGCTGGGTAAGAACAATTATAACAATCCTTCATATTCATGTTTATTATCTGGGCTTTTCTCAACTAAAATCTGAGCAGTATAGTTCAGGGTTGTTTTAATGTCTTGTTTGCTAATTTTCTGCAGCAGCATTGTGTTGCTTTGAGTCAAAACTGCAAAAGAAAATGTATAAATGAGATAGATCTATTTCCTCTTGAAAAAATGAAGTAAGAAGAAGATGTTTTAGCTTTAAAGGTGGGTTTTAGACATTTTCTCAGTTACTAACCAGATGGTTAATGTAGTTTTTCCCTTCCATGCATCAAAACGTGAAAGAAAATGGAGTCTATAAGTAGGGTCATGTAATATAATGATGTACTGCTTAGTGTAGAACCTACAAAAGCCCCAAAACAATCAAAAGTTGGAGGTAAATTCAGCCGCTGATAGTTTTTAACATGTGAGTCAGCGCTGTGCTCAGGCTCCTACCCTGCTGAATTTGGAGAAGGAACCAAACTAACTGTACTTGGTAAGATTACTTGATATGTAATTAATAGTGGAAAGCGTATTTTGCTATAAAAACAACAGAAAAATAAGTGTTATTTTAGACGTTGGCAGTTTTTGACATGTCAGTGAGCGCTGTGCTCAAACACATATCCTGCTGAATTTGGAGAAGGAACTAAACTAACTGTACTTGGTAAGATCTCTGCAATAACTTTAAAAAACAACAACATTTACGTGAAGAAAAACAAAGTTTACTTCTGCAACCTGTCGGGTTGTATGTGACATTTCTGTTCAGTGCCTCTTTGTACCCTGATGTTCTGGTCTAGATTCTTGCATTAACATTTTTTATCTATGTCCAGCTTTCATTGAGTGATTTCTGTCCATGTTTTATAACCGTTAGTGCGATAGAGACTTGTTAATATTTGAAGTTGTTGGATTGTTAAGCACCTGCCCGTTAGCTACATCTGATACATGTTATGCCTGGTTTGTTTAATAATGCATTTACAACATTCTCTGCAACATTTATCTTATTGTATTTATTTGTTGACATGTATATCGTTGACTTCATCCGGATCAATTGCACATCGGTGATAATCTCGCACTATTCTATTCTTTTTGAATTAGTTTGATGTCTTATATTGATGTTGCATTGTTGGAGGAGCTTGGGACTTAGAGATTGTCATATCTACACTGAAGCTACTGCATAGATGATGAAGCCTTTGAATCTTGAGTAAATGGGGTTTTATATTCTGTCTAAAATGTTTTGACATCATGTATGAAGGTTTTCAGTCTGTGGCTGATATGCTTCTATTGTCTCGTGCTTTTACATTCCTTTCTTCTTGTCCTATCGGTTTGGTCTAAATGTATTTATGCTGCTTTGTTATATACTGTATACATTGATGTACAGCACTTGGGTCAACTCTGTTGTTTTTAAATGTGCCATATAAATGAAGTTGGATTGGAATAAAGTCATCATTTTATTACTTTTGACTTTGTCTCTGCAGAACCAGGCCATGATGTCTCTGCACCGACAGTCACAGTGTTCCCTCCGTCAGCAAAGGAGTGCAGGAACCAGAGAGACCGTGAGAGGAAGAAGACCCTGGTGTGTGTGGCCAGCGGATTCTACCCGGACCACGTCAGTGTGTCCTGGCAGGTGGGCGGGGGGGCCGTCAGCAGCGGGGTGGCCACCGACAGCAGCGCCCTGCGGGAAGACAAGGATCAGACCTACAGGATCAGCAGCAGGCTGAGGGTCTCGGCCTCAGACTGGTTCACACCGGACCGGAAGTTCACCTGCAGCGTCAGCTTCTTCAACGGGACACACACCAGCCACCATGAAAACACGGTGGAGGGGGTCGAAGGTGAGGCATTCAAGTACTAAAAGGAATGAGTTTTTATTAAAAGGACATCCTCTGTCCCGTCTAATCACACAGAGAACGAAGCGGTATACAAACAGATGTATCCCAGCAGCTATTGCACAAATTAACAAATCATAGGAGCGTCACACAGATGCCTATTTATTTATTTATCTAGGCCTAATTATGAATTTTGAATGTCCATGTTTGTACTAGTGTTTTTCTTTTTAAATGTTTTTAAATATTTTGAGACGGAGCAGAGTGTACTTTTATTAGAGATGTGTCTGTGTTTGTTTTTAGAGTGTGTCAGGATGGATCCCTTGTCTTTTTATCTGCAAACTAAACCTACCTACGGGTACAAATAAAGAACCTGAACCTGATCCATGTTGTTCTCCTTTCAGGTTCACAGGTAGCCATGACCAGAGGTAACTATACTATTCTGTAGCTCATTCAGTGCTTTTAGAAACACAAATATACAAGGGCGTCACTTTGTGCGTAAAGAGTGGTGGGGACATCAGGGGGTCACATCGTTACAAAAAGATCTCATAAGGCAATGTGAGGGGGGGGGTGGGGGGTGTGTGAGGTCAGAGTACATAGTTACCAAGATCAGGGGGAAACAGGAAACTATCAACAAACAAACAAAAGGAATAAACGAGAGGTTAAATCCTTTTGTAACTAAAGCACACTGACTGGTTTGGATTCTTTAAGTGAACATATCGACATTATATTTGTTGTGTTGAGAATCTTTTTTGATCAATTTAATGTAAGAAATATTCAAAGTCACTGATCAGTGCACGAGTGAGTGAGCCGGGGGGAGGGGGTCTTTGTATCTTCTTTCTTTCAACATTTCTTGGTGCAATCTTTTTACAACAACTTGTTTTTTATTGTTGAAGTTTTTAATTGTTACTGTGAGGGTCTAAGGACAGAGAGTCCGTACACACTTTAAATCCTCCTGAGATAAACGTGAAATCTTTGGAAGAAATTCAATGTGAAAAAAATAGCAACAAAATAAGCCTTTTCTCCAAAGTGTAAATGACACACATGCAGTAGGCTAGTACTCATGTATAATATCAACCACAGTGCCATGTGTCTCTTCTTCATGTCTCTAAATATCTAAATGTTCCTTCAGAGAAATACTTGAAGACGACCCAGGCGGCCAAACTGTCGTACGTTGTGTTCATCGTGAAGAGCAGCGTCTACGGCGCCGGCGTGGCCTTCCTGCTGTGGAGGCTGCAGGTTGGTTCACTTCTGGATTCATAAAACAGGCATTCAAATATGTGAATAAATGTAACTTAAAAACACTCCTCCTATCTGTGTGTTGCAGGGATCAGCGGGGAAGCAGAACAACTGAGAGCCGAGGCCGGAGAAAATAGATCCAGGGCATCAGTAATGCGTCTGTGAATCAAAAAGTGTGAGAACATTGAAGTTATATAACCACAGGTCTGTCTGCCTTTCTTCCCATTCAATCCATATTCCTGTTAAAGCTATATGACATTGAAATACTTCAACATTATAAATTGTTCTTATGCTGATTCTGTGTTTTTGTATCGCTTGTTCGCTTAATTTTCTTCTCAATAAAACTCTTTCATTCCATCAATCATGTGCTTTCATTTCTCTATAAGACTGTTATTACATGACTCTCATTAAGGCGCACCATTAAGTGACATGTTGCTGAAATCACAATATGGACCAGTGCGATATACAGGTAGCACAATGTACACACATATTGTAGGAGCACAGAAACAGTGTTCAAATTCTGCTTTCACACACTTATTTTGGTTGTGCGTACCTGGCAAAGGAATGTTATAAGTGGCAAAGGAATGTTTTAATGTAAATACATTCGCACAATAAAAGCTAAATATGTGTTTGTTACGTCCCAACTAGGGGAAGAGGAAAGCAGCATACACCAGTTGGACTTGGTAATAATTATAAATAGTTGTATTGTATCGCAGAACAAAATGGAAGGCACGCAGCCTGAACAAACAAAAGGGCGTGGGTTTGAACGGGCAGCCAACAAAGGAAGGACTCTAATAACGGAGCCGACTGACATACAAAGAAATAGGTACTAAAGAAACACATAGCAACAAAACAACCCATTAGCAAAAATACCATTTTTAATGAAGTAATTTGAAGCTACAGACTTAAAACACAATCACACCGTTTATTTGTTTCAATATATCAATAATGAGTTATAATTAAATAATTATCAATCCCTCCACTATTATGTCTCATATTGCAATAAAAACAATTGCAATACGTGTTCATGATGTTTCCAGAGGGTAAACGTTATTTATATTCAGTGTATCTCTAAACAGGTATGCGTAATGTCATAACGGTGGATTTAAATACACAAAATAACAGATCCTTTCGGCAGTTGACCTAAATGATTGATTTGATATAAACGTCTCTCACTGATCGTCACTTTTTCCACAGGAGTATTTTTAGCTGCTCGCCTCTTTTCTGAGAAGTCACTCGTCTCTCAGCGACATCAGGTGGAAACATCTCATCTGGTCTGAGAGGTGACTAACTCCAGTGACATTTGATTATATGTCATTGTTTGTTTTATTTATACATTTTAAGGAGTTCATTTGACATTATTCAAGTTGATGAAGTGAAGTTGGTGAGACTCTACAGACAAAGAACATAGTTTATTTGTGCAATGGTACATTTTAAGATTCATTTGAAGGTTGAAATAATATAATAAATATATTTCTGACTAAATGTTCACCAAACAAATTGCTTCCATACAGATACAAGTATTACTGCATATACAAGCTGATATTTTGGGCTATTTCTCTTCAAAATCCACATTTAGGAGTTTATTTTATTAACTTTGTCTATTTGTGTCAGCAGATTTCTCCTAAATTCACCCAAAGTTAGCATCACATAATGCCTCATTAGCATATTTAAACATAACATGTCAGAAAACTTGTATTGTAAAAAATAACGGTGGTAATGTCAGTAATGAAGTGGGGAAGGTTCATGGGGATGATATCTAAAGCGGTTTACATTCTCTCGATGAACAAAGACGTTTTTCCTTCAGTTCAAACAGTGTCAGTATGACAGGAAGTGTGTGTGTGTGTGTGTGTGTGTGTGTGTGTGTGTGTGTGTGTGTGTGTGTGTGTGTGTGTGTGTGTGTGTGTGTGTGTGTGTGTGCGGTGCAGCAGGTGGAGGTGTTGTTGTGCAGAGAGCAGAGACAGGAAGTGGTCACAGAGCAGCAGATCTGAAACCTCCGTCTGCAGGAACACACAGCTGCACTTCCTGTGTAACTGAACACACACAGCTCCATCAGGCTGCTTTGGAAAACAGCTGTTCATGTCCTCTGCTGCACACATATGTAGGTTAATATATAGAGCACGTTTAAAAGCACAAGTTAAAGTGAGCAGCACGACATCCTGTAGAGCACATGTGTCAAACTCAAGGCCCGGGGGCCAAATCAGGCCCTTGGTGGATTTAATTTCGGCCCGCAGGATCATTTGTAATGACTATTAGATCTGGCCCGCCGGTATATTGCACGCACACCTTCACTCCATCCTGAGGGTCTCCTCCGCTCAGAGCCTGAGCCCAAACATTGATGACCTTGCACCCGAGATGAGATGCCAAGTATCTGAGCTAGCATCACAGAGCAGCACACTGAGTTCAATGGATGCTTCCTTCTGCACTTTCTCTCTCAGGACAACAGGGCATGTTTGGTTTCTCTTTGAGGGGAATAGTTTTGTTGAAGCTGTTGTTGGCCTGTGGGAAAATGTAATCATAAGAAATGACTCTGGAAAAGCTGCAGATAGAGCCATAAGAAATGAATGCAGCTGATTATTTAATGTTTAATGTTGTTTTTATAGGCAATAATTTAAGCTTTGTTAGTTCCAGGTTTAATATGTGCAATAAGTTCATTTCAATAAGTTCTGCAATAAACATTGAACCAGTCCAGCCCTCGACTAGTACCCATTTTTAAATGTTGGCCCACTGTGTATTTGAGTTTGACCCCCCTGCTGTAGGGAGTCAAATGAAATAAAAAATGGCAATGGAAAAAGACAAGACATTATATCATAAGAACACATCAGAACAGAAACATGTTGGATACATGTATGAAGAATTAAATCATAATCAAATAATATAAAATACTAGAATGTTAAAAGCACTAAGAGGAAACAAAATCCCAAAAATATATAGGTTTGAATTTAGTTTTCTAATCATTTATTTGGCAGAGAATGAGAGGATGCAGATTCAACTTGTACTGAATGCGTCTGTCTGAACCGTCTCTAATCAATCGTGGTGGAGGAAGTATTAACGTTTTTTACTCGAGTAAAAGGTAGTATAATTACTTTGCTACAAATTGAAGTGTGCAAGTCACTCAAGTTATATAAATGTTGTAGGTCTCGATGAAGGTGGTCTTGACTACAACACTAGTAAAAAGTACCATGTTTGCCTCTGATATTAGTAGTGTACAAGCATAAAGTAGCAGAAGGAGTGAACTGTGTGAAGTATACCCGACTAAATACGTAGTTACTTTTCAACCTGTAAATATAGACTTTGTCAGTTAAAACCACAACACACAAACGCTCTATTTTCTCAGAGTGTGTCTTAAAAAACATCCTAGTGATCACTGGAGTCACAAACAGGAAAGTGTGTGTGTGTGTGTGTGTGTGTGTGTGTGACCTCAACAGAAACTGGTCTAACATCTGTCAGCTGATCATCCTCTCGCTGCTGCAAATACACTTTAGTCCTTTATAATCTGCTTTCATCAAACAAGTTCACCTTAAATCCCTCTCATCACATAAACAATAAAGCCTCCAACAACACCAAACTTACCTTTATATATACACATAAATATATATAAAACTAATATGTGCCATTTTACGAGTAGCTTCTTACATTAAGTGACAAAGTGTTTTTCAAACTTGTCCTTTAACCTTTGTAAGAAATGCGTTTTTGAAAGTGTCTTTTGATATTTTACGAACAACATATCTGCAAACAAATAGTATCAAAAACATGCTCAAGTCATGCCATGTGTCAGTGTGAACGTATATGAACTGTCTTTTCTGTTATTTGATCTGGTAACATGTGGAAGTAAAGTCTTACCTTACCAAAGCTTCTGCTGGGTGATAGATCCTCAAACTATGAGCTTTTTAATGAATGAAAAACAGCCTGAACGCTCTGAGAGAAATGCATCTGGCCATTGAATTATCAGTGTGCCTCACCAGCTGCCTGATGGTCCTGACACACCTGAGCTGAGGAAACACACCTGAGCTGCTGATGATCTGAGGAGAGGACTCTCATAGTGGAAATACTCTGCTACAAGTCAAAGTACTGCATTTCAAATCCAACTTAAGTCATGTGCAAAAGTTTTAGCTTCAGAATAAATGTAATGTACCAAGTGTGCTAATTACCGAATAACATATATGATTTTTTTTATATTAAAAAGATTCATTTACTACCTTAAGTATAGCCCAGAGCCATATAGCCTATAACATCATTCATTAGTTGACTTTTAGATTGTTTTAAGAATCAATATTTTAAACAATATTTCCCTTTGTCTTAATAATAATAATTACGAAGTAGCAGGAATTGGAGAATACTCAAGTACCTTAAAAGTGTACTTAAGTTCAGTACCTAAAGTAACAATACTCTCCACCATGGCTGATATTTAAGTAAAAAGGAGAACATGCGAGAGAAAAACACGGCATAAAGACATATAATACATTAAAACACCAGCATGCCTCAGTACAAATACACTTGAAATATATTAAGGTAAATCATGTAATCCAAAAGATGTCATTTATGAATTTGCAGGTAACAAACGTTAGAAAGTATATAACTTACTTTGTCACGTTGAGCGCCCCCTTGTGTCGCCCACAGGAACATCACGCCACACATGAACACAAACCACTAGGAGTTTTTATCAAAATATTATTTTATTATCAAATAATTACATAAAAATAAAACATCACGAAGAGAAAATACAAGCCGTTATCAGTGAAACTTCAAAAAGAGCAGTGGTAAAAAGAACAGACAGCTGGAGGGAATACATGTAATAATCCTCTAGAAAACAGAGAACATGTGGAGTGAATAAGTTATTTCAGAGAGGAGGAAAGTTTCAACAGACTTTTACATTCACACACATTTAATTTAAAGCCACATTTAGTTATTTAATCATTAAAAATGTATGTCCTGCCGAGGGCTTTGCACCTACGTAAATGAGACTCTACTGAAATACCAGATTTATGAATGGAACGGTATATTTGGAAAGAATAAAAACAAGGAAGATGATGATTGTGCAAACTGTGATATAAATACTATGTGACTCCAAATAACGAATAAAAAAAAGAAAATATACGTTTTTATATTCAGTGTTTTTGCAGCAGTGTACGAACAGACTCCCTGAACTTTGAAAACAGTAATCCGTCCCTTCTTCTCCTCTCATGTGATCTGCGTTAGCTGCAGATAGCAGTGTTTCGTTAAGTCTCTTTTAGCAGAAGTTCAGTGTTTTTAAAAAGCAGTCCTCCCCTCCTCTTCATCCCTCAGTGTTTCTCTACCAGAGCCTCTCCCCCATCCTCTTCCTCAGCGAGTGGCGGGTGCAGCTGGCGCAGCAGAAGCTGG